GCTGAGTTCAGGCACCTGTCTCCCTGACCACTGCTCCTTCCCAGCCACTGGTCTTCCATGTGGGCTGAGGGTTTTATCCCCCAAGCAGCACTCCTTGCCACAGGGCAAGAGGAGAGCCTGGGAGGCCAGGCCCCCTTGAGGTGTGGTTCACGGGGCAGGGGGGGGGGCGGTTGTTTAAACAGTGCGGATGTTCCCATGCACCGTTGGGGCTCAGAAAGGAAACCTCAGGGAAGGGAGGCAAGAAGGAGAAAACGGACCCACCCACGTGAGCAGCCAGATGCAGCCCCACCCCCGGCAGCTTGCTCCCGCTCCGGGGGCAGGCGGAGAGGCTGGAGGCGTGATGGATTGGGCGAACTTCGGACACTCGCTCAGAGGTTCCCACCAAAGGTGTGAAGACAGATGGAGGGTCTGACAGGGGCAGAGGGGACCAGGAGGTGAACAGCTGCTGGAGGGAGAGGGGGCTGCGCGCAGGGCGGGCCGGGGGCAGGCTGTGTGTGCTGCTGTGCGCTGACCCTCCGGGGTTAAGCTGCGAACACTTCCTGAAGGAAGGGGGCGGCGGGGGGTGCTCGGGTCTGGTACAAAAGTTCCGGCATCTCTGCGCTCCCCGGCCGCACGCCCCTCCTCCATCTGAGCAGCCCGCTGACATCTTCACACATCTCTGTGGTTTGGGGAGGAGGAGGGGGTCTCCACCTCCCATGTCCTGTCTCCCCAACAGGAGGAGCCCACCTGGGAGAGAAGGAGATGATGGGCCCACCGCGGTGGGGCTTCCGCCTGGGCTGTGGGCTGGCACAGGTCCCCTCACCCAGGATGGCAGGTCCCTGCCGCTGCTGCCCAGGTGGCCTTGGCCCGAGGGGATTGCGCTGGGGGATGAAGTTGGGGCTCTGCTGAGTACCTGCTCGTCACACTGGCTGGCTCGCTGCTGCCTGGGGAAGATGTGCCCCTCCTGGGGTGCCCCCATCTTTGTCTCAGACCCAGCTCTGGAAGCAGGTGCTGGGAGCCTCGGGGACTCCTCAGAGAGGCTGCCCAGCAGAATTCCACAAAAAGCCACTTACTCATCTCAGCTCCGCCTGGCCCCGGACTCAGAGTGTTTGCGAGGTGCCAGGCACTGTTCTAAGCATCGGCCAGGGAGCGGGAGGGAGGAAGGCCCTGCCCAGGCCCCTATGGAGCTGGCTGTGTCGTAGGGCAGGCAGACAATGCACATCCGGAAACAGCAAGTCACGCACTAGGTGTCGTGCCGAAATGGACAAGGGCAGCTAGACTTTCTGAGCCCCTGTGACCCAGGCCCTGCTAGAGCGTTTCCTGTCTTCTCATCTACTTAAGGGACAGAACCGGGATCCAGCCCTCATCTCTAGAGCCTGAGCTCCTAGCCGCTCACACTCCTGCCTCAGAAGTGCCCACACTCGCCGTCTCTTTTGGAGACTGGTTGGCAGCAAGAGGAAACCAAGGGGCGGAAGAGAACGACCCCTGGGGGAGGGGAAAGCTCATTCCGCCCATGCCCTGGATGAGAAAACTGAGGCCAGGACCGCAGGTTAGGGGGTGATGGGCAGAGCTGACTCAGACAAGTAAAGCCTTCCTAGAGGTTTGGATAACCATGAGGCTTGGTCCCCTCCTAGCCCAGCCCTCAGCCACCCCCAAAGGCAGCCGTATAGGGTCAGGCACTCCGCACGTGTTCGTCCCCAGCTTTGTGCACTGGGCCCTTCTGGAGAGGAAACAGGCCTCTCTCTGCTGGCTCACTGGAGGCTGGGACTCAGAGACCCCAGCCCACTCTGTCCCCTGTAGGGTCAGCTCCTTGGAAAACAGCCTAAGGCAGCTTAGGACAAAGGGAAGCTTTTGTAGTCGTAATGACTTTGAATAGTCTGATACCTGCACACTCATCGCTCCACACTGGCTCATGTCTAGGATTCGCAAGCAGGGCACGCTATTAGGGGTAGTGGGCAGAGAAAGGGGGCACCTAGGCCTGTCCTTAGGGATTCCCCAGCCCCTGCCAGAGGACTCCTGGTCTGAGAGGAGGCAAGGGGTGGAAGAGAACGACCCCTGGTCCCCAGATGCCCTGGTCTGACGGTGGAAGCACAGCCCTCTCTTGGAGAGCGCCCCGTGTGATGGGGGAGGCGGGCGGCAGGAATTCATTCATAACAGCAGCACTCACCAAGCCAAGCACCTGAGCAAAGAATCGGGCACAAAGTTTGGCCACGTCGAGGGTCACTTGGGCTGGAGACCAGGGGCCGGTGCCCAGGGCCGGGGCTTTCTCAGGGTGTGTGTGTGTGTGTGTGTGTGTGTGTGTGTGTGTGTGTCCGCCTGTGGGAGGCAGCTGGAGTTTCCTCTCCCATCCCCGCTGTTTTAGATGCAGAGTCCACCAGAATGGGAAGTGGGAACTGAGGCCCAGAGCAGGGAGGAAATTGCCCCAAATCACACAATCACACTGTCGGTTAGTGGTCCCTGACCCCAGCCAAGGGCTCAGCCGCCGCCTGGGGAAGGGGGCGTCTCTGTCTTGCCACCACCACCCGCTTTGCTCCTTCATAACGTCCCACATTTGTGGTCCCCTCTGCTCCTCTCCGGAGCTTAACATGAAGGCGCCAGTAAAAGGGATTTACATATTCATTTCCCCCACACGGAACTCATGGAAAATATCCTCTGAGTGTGCAGTTAATCACCAGGCCACAGTCACAGTAAACGAAGCCTTTTGTCTTTCCTGCCTGAGCTCCTAGTAATTCCAGTGGCAGCCAGCGTGCAGCAAGCGCTTACAATGGGCCAGCCATGGAGGAGGCCAAAGCCTGTACCTGCGCTCACTCATTGAATCCTGGTAGTTATTGTGACCTGCCTTTTACAGATGAGGAAACTGGCATGTCCAGGGTCATCCATCCTTCCTGCATCCATCCATCCATCCATCCATCCATCCAGCAAATATTCATTAAGCCCCCCTCCCATGTGTCAGGCTTGCAGTAGGTTCTGGAAAGGGGCAGAGCTAGGAGTCGAATGGTCCAGCTGCAGAGCCCACTACACTGT